CCAGATGGAATCCCCTTACAGGGCCAATTAATAATGCCTACTCTGACACTGGCCATAAATTTGAGCCTTTTTCCATTACTCAAGCTCAATCAGAACAACAAGAAAAGTTTCAGCAAAAGAGAAAGAAATCTCCCACAATTATGAGATGGATTTATATAGATAACACCAGGCTATGGTAATTTAGGTTTAAAGTCTCCTCTGTGTTGAAAACAATTAAATCATACTAAGGATAATCAGTCTAGTAACACTAGAAAACTGGGCTATGTGCCTTATAGATGGTGGTGCCAATGTATAATTTCCCTGAAAGATAAAGGTTTGTACAGAGTAGACTAAGTCAGACGACCTAGGATATACTGGGCTACATCTAATGGAAGCTCTTAAGTCTTACTTGTGACTTTACTAGTACTGCTGGCTATGTTCTTTGTATTTCACCTGTTTTACAAAATTGCTCTTTCTTACACTGCCAAATGTGTGACTGAGGCCTCTGATAGAATAATATATAGTTCCCTATGAGATTGATGATGATAACAATGTAACTCTAGATATGAGACGAAGCAACAAGGGGAAGTGTTTTCCTGGACCAAGAGGCTAGTAAGACAGGTGGTCCAGAGAATTTTGAATACTGTTTTATGGCCTAGTCCAGTAACAGCACATTGAGTGGCCGGTCAACAAAATCTTTGCCAAACCTGAGAATGGACATTCTCAGCACCATGGGATAAAATGGTCATGAAATGCCCCCCTCAAAGTCATGGTCAGGTTTATGAGCAAAAATGGGGCTCTTCCAACTGAAGATTGACACTTGCCACCTACATCTACAGAGATTATATCATGGCCACTGCAACTGCTGACTTTCAATGGCCCTGAAAAGAGTTCAGGGTGAAAATCAAGAATGAGACACTCTGCTCTAAAAAAAACTGGCAGAACAGGCCTTCAGATAGTTAGATCTTTTCAGGAGATTTTGATTCCCGATTCTTGCATCTTCTCATACCTAGAGAAACACTGACATCATTAATGGTGACATCTGTTTTGGCTATTAAGAAAAATTTTACAATTAAAAGTCAAAATAGAGTACTCAGCTATGGTTCAGACATCCTGAAAAATAACCAGGTGTTACTATGGGTGTGATTTCAGATTAGACATTGTATTGCTAAACACTTGAGTTTTCTGAGTCATGTCAGGATTAGATGCCACCATTCTCCAAACAATGTCTGCTAAAAGCTAGTAACTTATACCTTACTTTTTGTAAAACTAGGCAACTGGCCACCTGGCTAAAAGTCTCCCTGAAGTGCCAGTTCCAGACTGGGTTTCAGGCCTATTCTTCTGAAAAAAAAAAAGAGATTTATTTTGCTATTAAAATTCCAGTTATCCCTCCTCCAGCTACTACTAATTGGGTATGTTACAACAAAATGGCAGAACAAGGGATTGAGATTTTAATCATACAAGGCTCAGATCTAGGACTTGGAACTCAGGAATACTTCCAATTCAGTGTCTCTTCTCCAAGCTGAGGCAGTCCTATGCTCCATTTTGACAGGAAGTTATCACAGTCATAGTTGCCCTGTTCCCTAAATTAAAACTGAATAGGACTCCGTGGGGTGGCGACTCTGGAGTACAGATCTGCTGTGTGTTTTCAATTTCTTAATCTGTAAGATATAGGCTTCATTCAGCCTCCTTGACCTTCCCTGAGTTCCAAAAGGTGGATTCAAATGATTGCTAATCAGGGAAGAGAGGGAATACAGAAACAGAGGAAAAACAATCATATGGTAGTACAGCCTTGAGACAGGGTCCTGGTTCCTACTCAAAAAAATATACATAACAATGTCTTTGAGTTCTTCTACAGAACTGGAGCCCCCACCCAGGTGGAGGATGGTAACTTCAGACTAAACACAAGATTCCTGGAGCACAGCTCTGTTGCTTCACCACCAGCCAATCAAAAAAAAAAAAAATGTCACAAACCCTGCAGCCCTCACCCCAAATGTTGCCTCCTGTTTCTGGGGACCAGTGGTGACCATCCTGTTAGGTCTTCTGTTTGACCCCTATCTATGTCATCTCTGAGAGGCACCAACAGTTTCAAACTAAATTTCTGCTATTAAAATAGTGAAAGCTGGTTTCAGATATGGAACACCCCAACTTAGATCAGGTAGAGACTTCTGCTCTGCTAGGCAGGCCTACGCCCAGGCACAGCAGGAAGAAGTTACAGAAGAAAGAGACCTCCGCCCCAATTCCCAAGAAGCATCTTGAGTATGAAGTCTCTCAGGGGGGAGTTGTTAGGGGAAGCACACTGATTGAAACCGACCACCCTGGCCAGGCACCATAGTAACCATTTGCATGAGTTGTTTTATGACAGGAAATCCTGATAAGGAATACGGAGCTAATAAGCCACCACCAGCCGGAAGAGATCGGGAAAGGTCGAGAGGAGACCCTGCCTGTCCGTCCACTTCCCAGAATCCCTCTCGCTAGCCTCCATCTTGTCTGAGTGATGTGTGCGCCACCAGGAAAGACTCTGAATTAGAATGATTGGCCAAAGCCACCCAGAAACTAATCCCATCACCATAAAACCCAAGACTGCGAGCCACGTGGCAGAGCAGTTCTCCTGGGTTCCCTTACCCTCCTGCTCTCCACCCGGGTGCCCTTTCCCAATAAAATCTCTTGCTTTGTCAGCATGTGTCTCCTCGGACGATTCATTTCTGAGTGTTAGACAAGAGCCCAGTTTTTAGCCCTGGAAGGGATCTCCCTTCCTGCAACATATATATACTGTTCTTGTTTCTCCATTCTCTGTTATGACAGTTAAGTTGCTTCCAAGTCTTGGCTATTGTAAACAGCACTGTGATGAACATCAGGCTGCATGTAACCTTTTGAACCATGTGTTTCTCCTAATATATATCCATGATCCATATGCTGGGTCACATAGTAGGTATACTGAATTTTTTAAGGAACCTCTATATTGTTCTCCTTAGGTATTGTGTCATTTTACATTCACACCAGCAATGTAGGAGAGTTCCCATTTCCCCATACCTTCTTCAGCATTTATCATTTGTAGACATTTTAATGATGGCCATTCTGAAAACTGTGAGGTGATATCTTACCGTAGCTTTAATTTGCATTTCTCTAACACTTAGCAATATTGAACATCTTTAATATGCCTCTTATTCATTTGTATGTCATCTTTTAAGTACATAAAACAGGATTGTTTTCCTTCCCTAAAACTGGTTTGTGTGCTACCTATTCATCGCATTACTTCTTTGGAATTTCCAGAAACTATACTTCTTTTCTGATTCTAGTTTTTCCTTTTCAAAAAAAGGAAATTCATAATTCATGTATGTGTACATAAATCATTCTTTCTCAAGCATAAATATCTTCTCACTTCTCTCATTCAGTGCTCAAATATATTATTTTTTTAAAATTCTCTAACATCAATTGTCTACACTCCCATCTCCAACCCCACATAAATTATTTACTTTGTAACATCTATACTATATTTATAATAGCACACTATTATTTTTTCAATATCATGATTGGTATGATTCAAGAGAAAGCTTAATACTGTCCCCAAATTAACTTTCCATCTGAGAAGGGAGAATCTGGTTAAACATATGGTAAGAACTTGGAGTGAACAATAAACAATTGAAACAAAAATGCTAGATTATATACTGTCTGTTACTACATGAAGCTTCTACAATTATTTGAATCTAGTATTAATCAGGAAAAAAAATTGAAGGGCAATGAATAGATGTGATGAAACAAACTTTTAATAAAATGTTGAGAAAACAAAAAAATTACTAAGTTCTGTATATAAGAATATAAGGCAAGGTTACATAGGAGCAAAACAGTAGCCAGCAAGGTGAAGAGGGGTGGGGAACCCATTAGGTGAAAACCACATAGATATTAATACCAGGCAAGTAAGAGACATAGAGACACAGCATCTAAGCTACTGGGCTTTAAAGCCTGCTTATACCTAGTGTCCTCTCTTCCTCTACATAAGACTGATCCAACACTAACAAGTATATGTGTGCACACTGCTTTTCAATCTTAAGGGCAGTGGCTGTCACCCCGAATATAGAATTATACTAACTTCACAATAAGAAGAGAATGGTCTCCATGTACTTTTTCTAGGTCAGATCAAACAGTGAATAAATTTTGAAATTTCTATTCATCTTTTGTCATCTGAAATTAACTTCTTGCTCCATAGCATCCTCATGGCATTTTTCACTTCTGCATTCCTCAGGGTATAAATCAGAGGGTTGAACAAAGGTGTTCCAACTATATAAAGCACAGCTATCATCTTATCTGTCGAGGTGGTGGCAGGGCACGTGTATATAAATATGCAAGGGCCAAAGAAAAAGATGACCACCATAATACGGGAGATGCAGGTGGAGAGGGCTTTTTTCCTCCCCTCAGCACTGGTTTCTCAGAGAATGCAAGACAATAGCATAGGAGAACATCAGCATGATAAAACTCACTGTGCAAATGGCCCCACTGTTAACACCAAGAGTAGGTTGGTCACATAAGTGTCTGTACAGGCAAGTTGTAACAAAGGCTGCAAGTCACAAAAGTAGTGGTCAATTCCATTGGGACCACAGAAAGGCAGACTCAAGGCTAGAAAAATCTGAGCTGATGAATGCACACAGGACCCCAACCAGACCAGAGATATAAGCACACCACAGACTCAATGACTCATGATGGTCATGCAGTGCAAGGGTTTGCAGATGGCCATATAGTGGTCAACAGCCATGAGAATAAGGATGAAGATCTCCAGGAAGTTAAAGAAATGGAATGCGAAGACTTGGATCATGCATTCACTGAAAGAGATGGTGGTCTTCAAAAGGGCATCAGCAATCATTCTAGGAGCTTCTATGGAGGTAGAGAAGCAGGCATCAGATAAGGATAGGTAGAAAAGGAAGAGTACATTGGACTCCGAAGTGCCTGGCTGGTCTTGACAGTAACAATAATCAACAAGTTATCCAGCAATGTCCCCAAATAGAAATTAAGAAAATGACAAACACTGTTTTCTTCCTAACAGGATCTTGTGTCAACCCAAGCAGAATAAACTCAGTCATATTATTTTTCAACTGCATGATTCCATGAAAGAGGAGAAAAGATGAGTGTGAAATGATTAATCTGCAAAATATAAGGAACTGATTCATAGGATGTTACATGATGTTATGGAAGGTTGCTTTTGGGGGCCATTGTACCTGTGATTTCTTAATAACTTATGCTAACATTTTGTGTGATAATTTTTAATGACCACTACAAAGGTTTACTATGAGTTTCATATAAGCTTCTGAAAGTAATAAGTTCCTATAAGTATTTTTTTAGAAAGCTTGCTAAATTTGATATCATTATTGATTAAATTTTTAAATGTGTTGAATGCATAGTTAAGAGATAAGTCTTTGTTATTTCTTTCATTTATTTGTCACATTCAAAAAGTTTATGGCACATGTATTTCATGGTCTATCACTTGGGATTTAGGATATACATAACTACCTTTGGAGGTTCATGATATAAATATAAAGTCACACTACACCTTTAACTCTTTTAAAATCATCATACATAAACACTTATGTATCACATAATTGTTATACATAGAGATATATAATCATATAAATATCTATCTATATATAATTATATATTTAATATGTTCCACCTCTTCCTTGCACCCTTGTTCCATTTATTACAGCTTGAGCAATGAAACAGGAAACATGCCCTTTAAATAATCTACTGTTATCATCTTGAATGTGATATTCTGTATTAGACAAATACTAATGATCAGAGATAAATGTTATTTCATATGCCATTATCTCAAATATCCCAGTTTATCCTTTTTTCCAACTTCTAAAAAGCACCATTTAGAATACTCAGAATTCCTGAAGTTACGGTACTAAATGAAGGATGGTGAGTTATTACTCAAAAGTTAGTATTTTTCTCTTAAGCATCTTAGATCTGGAGTAATTTGGGGAGATGGTTGTGTTCCACCAGGTGGTTGGTATAGGATCTGATCATGGTTTTATTCCCAGGAGAGTCTATATTGTTCAAGTATCTGAAAATGTGCAAGCCTCAGAAAAAAGCAAAGAAGGAGAAGGCCCAAGATGTACTTTTTAAAAGAAGCAATGCCGATTTTCAGTAGATACTTTCTTCACTTTTACTCTTCAAATGGGAGTCACAAATTTAAAACGACTAGATTTGTCAAAAACAGATAATCTTTTGATGTGGGGGCTAGGAGAGAAGAGCTAAAAGAAAGGCAGGCAGGCAAAGCTGAAAAACAGATAAGGGTGAAACATTATTTAGCACTAGGCAGATTCTTCTGTGCAGAGACCACAGGGAGAAGCATTGCTTAATTTAAGGAGGCTCTTTGTCCACTTTCCCCTGACCTTGTAGTCCTAGATGTTCATCTTTAGAGGAAATTCTACGCTCATTTTACTTCTTTGCAGAATTTACCATTCTTTGTGGAAAGGTTAACAGATTATCCAAAGATTATTTATCACTCAATAGTCCGAGTAAAACAATATATAATCTACCCTCATTGAGCTCCTCACTCTGTCCCCATAATTTCTGATTATCCAACACATAGGAGCCTTAGAAAACAGCCTGCTTGTGAATCAAAAAGTGGCCCGAAAAGTGCTCATTATTCATTATATATATATATATATATATATATATATATATATAAAGTTTGCCATATATATCAATAAATTAATATTTATTTTCTGTATAAATCTTATTAGACATAGAACTGGTGCCTGGTGGAGGAGTAAGGGTAAATAAGACCAAATGTAGAACACTGACAGGTACAAATATTGATGAAAAGGAAATATTTATACCCAGGATTTTTCAGGAGTGCTCATCCCACATAAGTGACACATTATCTTTCACCTTAATTATAGTTTTCAGGCTCTTCATTGTCATGTTTCCTCCAAAAATTTTCTGAGAAATAGGTATTCACCTTTTCAAATTAAACCTTTGAAATGTGAAACTTTATAATTATAAACCTATGATGTTATTTTGGGAGAACAGAAGGAGTGATGATTCTATATTGTGATATATGATATTCTGTGCAAAGTTGTCACATGGAGATGGAAAAGTTGCTGTTCTCCCAAGGCTATATGAAGGTCACTGTCTCCATGAACCTTATGTCTGATTTCTTACAGAATCTCTTCAAACTTTCTAGTACCTCTAGCTCCTAGTGAAGTTGAATCTTGTCACACTTTTTATCAACATTATGTACAAATTTTCTTACACTCTGCTATCTCTAGAATTTGTAATAAAAACAATAACACATGAAATACATTCCTCTATTATTTCATTACAATAATGAGTTTTAACATGTCAAGATTTATTGAGTTCATAATATCATTTTTCCTCAAAATTTGTGTTCATTTTACTTATTTCTTATACTAACAGTAAATCTTAAAAAAGAATCTTCTATTTCTTTCTCAGAGTTATGTGGTAAAAAGTGCATTCAAAATGAATATGGACATATATTAGAAAATTATGATGGCTAATTTTGTAGTGATGCCTCTCTGAGTAAAAAATCAAAAATGTTTTTCACTTACCTGTTAGAAGACACTGAATAAGTGTCAGTTATGACCATCTTTTTGATAGCAACCTTTTCAGAGAGCAGTGAAAAAAAAATGCTCTTGTCTGAATTCCAGGGGGAGCATTTTAAGAAATAGTGACATAAGTTATTGGCATTATAGAGAGTGTTCTCCCTAAAGCTATCCCCAGTATGGTAATTAGGAACATCTCATGTGTAATAAGAAGTTATCTTTTGTCTATTTAACTTATTAGGAAAACAATTCAATTTTTCTCATTTTCATTAATCACATAGAAACAAGGATTTGGAACTCTTAGGTGCTTCACAACTGAACAACATTAACAGGGAAAAAGACAAATAAAACAAATGAATGGTAGAGAGAGCAGGTTAAAAAAAAATAATAAAAATAGTTTTCATTACAAAGAAAGTAGGTCATCCAGAAACAACTCTGCTACCAAGTAGAACCTAAATTAACCCTCCTGGTGTTAGAAACTTAGCAGAACAGAAAACTGTGGTGTAATATAGTCAGTGAGACGAGGTAGTTAGATAGCATCACAGTCTCAATGGACGTGAATTTGAGCAAACTCTGGGAGGTAATGGACAAGGAAGCATGATGTGCTGCAGTCAGTGGGGTTTCAAAGAGTCTGATGTGACTGACTGAACAGCAACAATATAGTCAAAGCAGTAATGAAAAAAAAATCAAGCAAGAATTTAATACATAAACACATGCCTTTAAAAAAAAAAGAGGATATACTTTACATTACTTTATTTTTTTCCATTTATTTTTATTAGTTGGATGCTAATTATTTTACATCATTGCAGTGGTTTTTGTCATACATTGAAATGAATTAGCCATGGATTTACATGTATTCCCCATCCTGGTCCCCACTCCAACCTCCCTCTCCACCCGATCCCTCTGGGTCTTCCCAGTGCACCAGGCCCGAGCACTTGTCTCATGCACCCAACCTGGGCTGGTGAACTGTTTCACCCTAGATAATATACATGTTTCGATGCTGTTCTCTTGAAACATCCCACCCTCGCCTTCTCCCAGAGTCCACAAGTCTGTTCTATACATCTGAGTCTCTTTTTCTGTTTTGCATATAGGGTTATCATTACCATCTTTCTAAATTCCATATATATGTGTTAGTATACTGTAATGGTCTTAATCTTTCTGGCTTACTTCGCTCTGTATAATGGGCTCCAGTTTCATCCATCTCATTAGAACTGATTCAAATGAATTCTTTTTAATGGCTGAATAATATTCCATGCTGTATATGTACCACAGCTTCCTCATCCATTCGTCTGCTGATGGGCATCTAGGTTGCTTCCATGTCCTGGCTATTATAAACAGTGCTGCGATGAACATTGGGGTGCACGTGTCTCTTTCAGATCTGGTTTCCTCGGTGTGTATGCCAAGAAGTGGGATTGCTGGGTCATATGGCAGTTCTATTTCCAGCTTTTTAAGAAATCTCCACACTGTTTTCCATAGTGGCTGTACTAATTTGCATTCCCACCAACAGTGTAAGAGGGTTCCCTTTTCTCCACACCCTCTCCAGCATTTATTGCTTGTAGACTTTTGGATAGCAGCCATCCTGACTGGCGTGTAATGGTACCTCATTTTGGTTTTGATTTGCATTTCTCTGATAATGAGTGATGTTGAGCATCTTTTCATGTGTTTTTCGCCATCTGTGTGTCTTCCTTGGAGAAATGTCTGTTCAGTTCTTTGGCCCATTTTTTGATTGGGTCATTTATTTTTCTGAAGTTGAGCTGGAGGTGTTGCTTGTATATTTTTGAGATTAATGCTTTGTCTGTTGCTTTGTTTGCTATTATTTTCTCCCAATCTGAGGGCTATCTTTTTACCTTGCTTATAGTTTCCTTTGTTGTGCAAAAGCTTTTAAGTTTCATTAGGTACCATATGTTTATTTTTGCTTTTGTTTCTAAAATTCTGGGATGTGGGTCATAGAGGATCCTGCTGTGATTTATGTCGGAGAGTGTTTTGCCTATGTTCTCCTCTAGGAGTTTTATAGTTTCTGGTCTTACATTTAGATCTTTAATCCATTTTGAGTTTATTTTTGTGTATGGTGTTAGAAAGTGTTCTAGTTTCATTCTTTTACAGGTGGTTGACCAGTTTTCCCAGCACCACTTGTTGAAGAGGTTGTCTTTTTTCCATTGTATATCCTTGCCTCCTTTGTTGAAGATAAGGTGACCATAGGTTCGTGGATTTATCTCTGGGCTTTCTATTCTGTTCCATTGATCTATATTTCTGTCTTTGTGCCAGTACCATACTGTCTTGATGACTGTGGCTTTGTAGTATAAGGGTGCCCACTCTCACCACTACTATTCAACATAGTTTTGGAAGTGTTGGCCACAGCAATCAGGGCAGAAAAAGAAGTAAAAGGAATCCAGATAGGAAAAGAAGAAGTGAATCTCTCTCTGTTTGCAGATGACATGATCCTCTACATAGAAAACCCTAAAGACTCTACCAGAAAATTACTAGAGCTAATCAATGAATACAGTAAAGTTGCAGGATATAAAATTAACACA